TGTGTGTGTGTGTGTGTGTGTGTGTGTGTGTGTGTGTGTGTGTGTGTGTAACTTAAAAGTAAATAGCAAAAGAAGAAGAGAAAAAAAAAAAAATGTAACCGGTATATATTATTATATACGTATATCTGTGCGAAAAGTGCACCAGTTTCGCTAATAAAAACATACAAACGCCAGCTTAAAGTTTAAAGGTCTATATGTCTTACTTATTGTACAGTAAAATTTTTGTGCACTAAAGTAGCTCGTAATTAATTTGTTAACTTTTTCTTTAGTTTTAATTTTCCTTTTTTTTTTTAGCTTATTTTTCTACCCTAGACTAGTTAGTTGTTGAGCGGAGCGCGAGAGAGAGCGTTTAGAAAAAAATCAAATCAAACTCTTGACGGGGTCATTGGTCATGAGAATGTAACAACCTTATTAAGATACGGAAAAACCTATAATAATGCTTCTTATTTTTCACACTCGTGCATGCTTATGTTTGTACATTTATATATATGTATTATGTATATGTATTGTGCATATCTGTACACATACACCTGACTAGATTCGTTTCATTCTCAACTTAACTTTCTTTTCATTCCATATATTTCACTGCTGCCTTTTTAATCTCGCACATATATATATATATATATATATATATTTGTGTTATATAATGCAAAGACGGGTGAAAGGAATTTATTAATACAGTAAAAGTTCCTTATTCGCGCTTCCTCTATTCGCGGATTAAAACAATGCGACCCAATTTCCATATTCGCGGCTATAAATTGCTTTATTCGCGGATTTTTTGTGACTGGTTCCGGATTGCTTTTGTTTCCAAAGTTGAAACTTATTTAAAAAAACAGAATTTAGACTCTAAAGCACTTCTAGTTTTTGACCATGCACCAAAAGTGACATTTTTACCTCCCAACACGACGGCTTTGCTTCAACCTACGGGCCGAGCAGTACTCCAGGCCTTTAAGCTCTGTTACGTTAAACGAACCTTCAAAATCATATTGGATACATAATATGGAATGTAA